GTCCAGTGACTTCGCCCAGGTTTCCCATTGTGCCTGGCGGAGCTGAGCTGTCAGCCCAGACCTGCCTGACTCCAAGTCCACTTTATTCCGGAGCCCCTGAGCGTGCCGATACTGCACCGGCTCCTGGCTGCGTGCTGTTGGGCCCAGGGGACCAGGGACCCTTGGAGGATCAGCTTCCTGTTGGCACCTCAGCAGGCATCCCTGGCCAGATCCGTAGGACACGAAGGGGCACATTGCCTTCTCCCAGGTACAAGGCTGGGCGGGTCTGTTCCCATAAGCAGGCAGTTCCACCCCAGCAGTAGCAGCATGCACAAAACGGGATCCCTTCCTTGGGATAGGAGGGATGGAGCTGAGCCCTGGGGTGTGGATAAAGTACCTGGCTGAGGTGAATAAGCTGGGGAGAAGGCACAAGCGGGTATGCAGACCCAGGACCACAGCAGCCTCTTTCTTGCAAACCTGGGGTGGGAGACAGCCTTTTCATATCCCAGCTCGGAGCCAGAGCAGTGGAAATTTGCCCAGGAAGCTTGAGGGTTCGTCCCACTTTGAAATCCCTGAGCCAAGAGCCTGGAGAGGCCCGGGATGGCAACCAGTGTCTGCCTTGGGGGAGGGGAGGCTGTGGCCCAGAGACAGGAAGTGGCCTGTGTAAGCTCACAGGCCTTGGGTGGGAGAGCCGGAACTGCAGTTTCACCCTGCTCTGTTTAGGGTGGGGGTGGCAAAGGCCAGACCCTGAGGACCCTCTGCTGGCTTTGAGAGCCTCAGAGTCCTGAGCAGTCCTCTCGGAGTGGGGAGGAATGCACTCTAGCGCCTCTAGTGGTGGTAGAGGGCTTCTGTGGGGTCACCGGCTCTGAGTCTGCGTCCATTTCTGCAGAATTAGTGAAGCATGCAGCATGCAACACACCATAGACAAGGCCAGGAACCTTAGAACTGAACTGAGCCTGTAACCCCAGCTACTCAGGAGGCTGAGGCAGGAGAACTGCAAGTTTGAGGCCTGCCTGGGCAACTTAGTAAGACCCCATCTCTAAAATACAATACAATATAAGATAAAATGAAATACCGCTGGGGATGTAGCTCAGCAGTAGAGCGCATGCCCTCCCTGCACGAGATCCTAAATCCAATCCCCAGCACCAAACAACAATGACAAGAACTGAATTGAATTGAATTTCCCCAGGGAAAAGCCACCACCTAGTAAAGTGGCACCGTAGACAAGAGACAGCTACAGCTTGGGGCTGCCAGCAAGTGCTGGTGATGAGAGGTGGAGCACCAGGTCGGGGGAGGTGTCCCTAGCCCTAGCCTTGTGAATGTATGAAGGCAAGGTGAGCAGTCAGCGTGAGGATGGCCTCCCGGGGTCCTTCCAAGCACGATCACATCCATGAGGGGGTGAAGAGCAGCTCCAGGCAAGAGGTGGCAGTGCGTCTGGGAAGGCACCTTGGGAAGCTCGTGCAGAGCTGTGAGTGCCTCGGATTTCAGGCAGAGCATGTGGGCTTTCTCCGGTGGTCCGTGCAATCCCTGAAGATATTTAACCAGACTAGGAGGTATGCTGCGGAGAGGAGTGGCCAGGCTACCGGGAACCCCGCCCCCCTCCACTCTGCCATTCTGAGCTGTTGGACCTAGGGCAAGTCACGTAGCTCTCTGGGCAGCAGTTTCCTTACTGTGAAATGAGGATGCTAGCAGTGCTTACCACCCAGGATGGTGTTAGCACCCAAGGATTATGTGGTACGTCAGCATGGAGCTTGGCTTGATAAATGTGCAGTAAATGTCGGTCCCTACCCTGCCTCCTAGGTTCCATTGGGCCATTTGTGGAGAGGTTGGGACTGCAAGAAAGAAGCTTTTTCAAAAGCAGAAAGATCTGCAGGTGCAGGGGTCCAAGTCCCTGGCTAGCCTGGAATCTCCTCGGTGGCCCAGGAAGGAAGCAGAAACCTCACTTGATGGCAGGGAGGCCACGGCCTCTGTCTGCTCCCGGCCCTGAATGTGCAGGGGCGTCTGGTCCAAATGCCCCCATAAGTGCGTGGGGACAAGAACCAGGTCCTGATCACCCACAAGAGCCTTTCTGCTGTCCCACGGCCACCTCCCAGGCTGACCCCCACCCCTTCCGGACATGTTCCTTTATCCAGACCTGGCTTGGGCCTTCTCTCTCCGGGACTCTGCTCTCGTCTAAGATGAGGACACCCAGGTCCAGAGGTCCTGAGACTCAGGCGCCCAGGCCAGACACAGGGCCCAGGGGCCACATACTGTATGAACATGTGACCAGAAGACCAGCGCTCTGCGGTGGGGTTGTCTGCTGAAGCATTGTGGCCACTTCCTCCCACCCCTAAGCATCCGGGAAGGGGGTCATTTAGTCTAGTGGGTAGAAGCACAAGCTTTGCCGCCTGGCCGATAAATGCTGCAGTTGCTGAGTCCCTGAGCTAGTGTTACGGTCTCGATTGCTTTTTCTGCAAAAAGAGGAACAGTAACACCCACCGTGTGAGTAGCCGAGAGTTGAATGCGGTATACACCTTCAACTGTCAGTGCTTGGTTACTGCTAGGTCCTGCATGGTGCAGGGGGTTAATAAATGACACCTCTGTCTTCCCGCAGGGAACACTGATTGAGTGCCTGGTAGCTTCCAGGCCCCACCCCAAACCCTGGGGAGTTGATAGAAATAAACCCTATGGAAGCTTGCCGCCCGGGGAGGGGGACAGGTAAATAATAAGACCAGCTCTACCCAGGGGAAGAGGTAGGCAGGAACAAGTGAGACCAGGAAAGAACTGGTGGACGAGGTGCTGTCTTCATGAAATGTGAAGAGGACTTCACGTCTGGGGAGGGGTCAGGGCAGGGACAGTGCCTAGGCTGGAAGAAGCCACTTGCTATGTGTTGGGGCCAGAGGCAGAGGGGGGCGGGAGGAACGGAGGGGATGCCGACTGCTGGGGAGACGGTGGGTGGCAGGGAGGGTGCAGCTCACTGCAGGGGCTGCCAGCACTTGGGGGTCCCTGGGCAGCCACAGATGGCCTGGGTTGGGAATACTAGCGTGGGGCCACCTGCTCAGATCCTGTCCCCTGACCTCTTGCAGCCCTTGCTCTCCTTTCTGCAGGGACTAAGAAGGGCTTTGCCTTGGGAAAGGACTTCAACACGTTTTCAAAGTAAAGTGAAGAGTAATCTCTAGAGGAGAAGAAACATAAACAAGCTTTTAAAACGCAAAAGGAAATGGGTTGTTTATTTTTGTTTAAGGTGGAAAGAATGCAGTGGAGGGCCTCAGCCAGCTCCCTTGAGTGAAAGTTTCCAACTGCTGTGACAGGAGGTCGCAGAGCCGTGGGGCAGGAGTTGCGGAGTCCTCTAATTCCGACCCGTGCTCAGCATGCCTCCGCCAGGGGTTGCGCAACAGGGACAGGGGTGCCAAGACCTGAATTCCCCCTCCTCCCACTGGGAACAGCCAGGGGGGCTCGGGGAGAGCAGGTCACGCATGCTTGCAAAAAGACCCAGACAAGCACAGAGGCCTGGGCAGGTTGGGGTCTGGGACTCCGAAGAAGGACTTCAGGGGTCTCTGCGGGGTTCCACCTGGTGGAGACGGACCCCAAGGCCTTCCATGTAGGGCAGGTGGAGCAGCGCAGGTGTGTGGTGGGAAATCTTCCATGCTTTGAGCAGTGGGCTCGTCCAGTGTTCTCAAGCACAGATCTGTTGAGCTATACCCACATACCGTGTAATTCACCCACCTGTGTGCAATTTCAAAGTTACAGAATCAATACCACCATCATTTATAGTACAGTGTTAGAGCATTTTATCACCCCTAAAAGAAGCCATAGACCCATTAGCAGTCACCCTCCATCTTCCTCCTCCTAGTTCTAGGTGACTTCTCATCTACTTCCTGTGGCTACGGCTCTGTCTCTGCTGAACATTTTATGATATATGAGCTTTTGTGTCTCGCTTCTTTCACTTAAGCACTGTTTTCAAGGCTCATCTGTGCTGTCGCATGGATCAATACTTTATCCCTTTTTATGGTTAACTAGTATTTTTATATGAGCATTGTGTGTGATACAGGAGTGCAGCATTTTGTGTACCCACTCGTGGACATTTTCCACCTTGGGGCTACTGTGAATATGTTGCTATGAATATCTATGTACACATTTTTGTGCAGCTGAGTGTTTGGAGAACATGCCTTTATTTTATTCTTGCGGTCCCAGGAAATGAACCCAGGGCCTTCACACTGAGCGACATCCCCAGCCCTTTTTACATTTTTAAATTCTGAGACAGGATCTTACTAGGTTGCTAATCCTCCTGCTTCAGCCGACTCCTGAGTGCTGGGATGCCAGGCGCATGCCCGCCTCCACCTGGAAGGGTGTTCAATTTCAATGGCGTCTAGGAGAGCTGGAGGGGAGTGAACTGTGCACTGTGAGAAGGAGAAAACTCAGGACTGGGTTCCAGCCTCGCTGGGAGCCAGGGGTGCACGAGGGCCCCCCACCAACCTGCATTGTCCTGTCAGACCCGGAAGCTGTGCTGGGCTGGAAATAGCCTAGGAGACTGGTACTCTCCCTGGATTTCAGGTGCAAACCTGCCCCTCATGTCCTGCTGAGGGCCACAATAAGTTGACCACAGAGAGAAGTGTGGGCCATACCATGGGGCTAGAAGAGGGAATGTGGTCAACAGGAAGCCGTCGTCCAGGGGAGCGAGGTGCTCAGGAAGCCCCAGGTCAATAGGCCCTAATGCTCCTGCCCCCGGCACACATGGAGGAGGTTTGTTTACAGGAAATGCTGCAAGTTATCTGTTGACCCCATTTGACATACAGGGAAACAGAGGGACTGGTTAAAGGAGACAGAAAGGAAATCAGAGCTGTTCTCTGCACATTAGGTTTGGTAAAACCCAGGCCTTGTCCTCTGTCCTCTCCTGTCTCGGAACACACCCTAGAAGACCGAGGACACAAAAACAAGAGAGTTGTGCTGTCTTCCTAAAAATGAACACCAAACCCCAAAGCAAAAACACAAAACAGGACTTTAATGACCAACTTTTTCCTTTTTTTTCTTTTGTTTTCCAGCCAGAAAACATTATGCTGTTAGACAAGAATATTCCCATTCCACACATCAAGCTGATTGACTTTGGCCTGGCTCATGAAATAGAAGATGGAGTTGAATTTAAGCATATTTTTGGGACACCAGAGTTTGTTGGTGAGTGTTAACAGTTAGGCCTGTTTCTGTCGCAGAACGGAGTCTGGCAACACAAGGTAGAGAAAGCCACAAACAAACCCTGGGTCTGGGGCTGTGGCCTCTGGGCAGAGGGGCAGGGACTGTGCCTGGGACACCCTAGAAACCTGACAGGTGGGAAGGAGTGTTGCCAGGCCCCTGGGGCAGGGAGCAGGTGAAGGCTCCGAGTGCCCAGGGGGATGGGCATGGCCGGGGAGCAAATGCCTTTGCAGAGCTCACCCTTACAGAGCCGGCCCCACCTCGCGCCCTTAGGTGAGCTCCTTGTGTGGATTGAGAGTCACCTCGCCCTCTTACGTCCCCTGCCAACTCAGTCTTCTCGGGAGTGCCTTGGGATTTCCCGAAAAGGGAAGAAGCACTCATCTGCCACATGCCAGGCCCACCCGCCTCCCCTGGGTTCCTGGCCTGTATTCATGCCCAGGGTCCCCAGCTCCAGGGACCCTGGCTGCTCCCTATTCCCTTTGACTCTTTCACCCTTGGCCCAGGCCCTACCTGGGGACCCTGTACCCCAGAATCCAACTCATGGGGGCTTGAGCCGGAGGTTGGGAGCCACAGAGAAATAGCCCTCAGAGAGGAAAGGGGCTGTGTGTCAAGAAGCTCTCTGTCTCTGTCTGTCTCTCTCTGTCTCTGTCTCTCTCTCTCTCTCTGTCTCTCTCTCTCTCTTTCTCTCTCTCAGAGCTGGAGTAGAGGAGTAGACTAGGGATGGAGGGCGAGCATGGTTTCCTCAGAACCTGGGGACTGAAAGTCCTGACCACAGTCTAATCACTAAGAAAGGCGGAATGTTCCAGACCTTCGAGCTCCTGAACTTCAGGGCTCATGTTAGTGCTGCAAGCCCTAGGAATGGGGGTGCAAAGACCTCCCAGGCCCCAGAGCAGGGAACTCGGACCATGTGCCAGGCACTCACAGATTTGCTCTCAGGTAACTCCGCACGAAGCCAGTTGAATTGAGTTATCCGTCAAGTGCCTTGTTCCAGGCAACACAACCAGTTGGTGGTGGCCCGGAGATTCAAATCCAATAAGCCAAGATCAGAGCTAGACTCTTCTGTTATACTGAGCTGTGACGGAAGTCTCTGAACAGACCCTGCGCCCGAGGAGCTTTGAATGTTGTCGTGGGCTCAGGACCTCAAGCCAGCGCTTTACCACTGAGCCACAACCCAGCTCTCGACTCAGGACCTCAAACCACCAAATAAGAGCCTGGATCACCTGGTCTAGTTTAACAGTAGGGAAACGGAGGGCTGGAGGGTTCCAGTTAAGGTCACTGTGTTGGTTTGGGCTTATTTTGCAAGGGGAACAATAATAATACAGGACACATATTTTATTTTTATTTTATTTTATTTTTTTTTTGTTTGTTTTTCTCTGGTACCGGGAACCAAACTCACGACCTTGTACTTGCCAGGCAGGCGCTTTTGCCGCTGAGCTAAATCCCCAGCCCCTCAGGACACATATTTTAAAAGGTTATTTATAATAGTCACCCAAAGAACAATATACAAGAGAGTGCAGGAAATCTGTCCACACACTAAGACCAAGGAATCCAGCTGAGGGCCTGGATCCCACGGAAATGTCCTGCATGAGTCCAGCTGAAGGCGTAGAGCCCATAACGATGCCTCCCATGAGTCCACTGGAGGCTCAGAGCCTACGGCATATCTCATGCAGGCCTATTTCACGGATCTGCGCTGGGAAGGCCCAAAGGTCAGTGGTGGAATTTAGAAAGTCTGTGCCAGCGGGATGAAGGATCTGTGCCAGCAGGCTGAGGGATCTGCACTGGAGCCAGGAAGCGATGCTCAGAAGAACCAGAGCTGCCCCCAAAAATACCACAGCCATCCTCGGCAACAGTGAGGTCCCGAGCTCCTCCAATGACCAAGATGGCCGAGTTCCCACCAGGGAAGCCAACGCAGCAAGCTCCTCCAGGACACTGGCAGTGCACCATCCTCCCCTCCAGAACCAGGAAGCGATGCCCAAAGTGAGGATCAGAGCTCCCCCAAAGTGAAACCAAAGCCATTCTCAGGGACAATAAGGTCCCGAGCTCCTCTGAGGATGAAAACAGCCGTGTTCATCAGGAAAGCCAGCATGGCGAGCTCCTCCAAGAGAACCAACAGCTCCTTACACATCCACCAGCTCAACAGCCTTTCTCCGCTCCCAGCAGCCTCTTTAGTTTCCAAAAGCCTCCTTCTTCTCCAGTTCTCCCTCTTGTGCTGCTGGCGACAGTCCCCAGGTGGGCCTCCCACGCCCAGCACCATGCTTACTCAGTTCAGCCGGGGGTTATAAGCTGACCACCAGTTATCAATCCACCATGGTCACCAAAGTCCTTCTTCACTTGCTGCCTGACAGATTTTAGGTGAGGTATGGGGTCACACTAGTAGGAAGGAGCCACGCTCCGAATGACACACCCAGGGTCACCAGAGGATGGGAGAGCCAGCTTGAACCACAAGACACAGACATCCAGACTTGAACTTTGTCTAAGAGCAGGGGCCGCCCACCACTCGCGTGTGTGGTGGGGACGTGTATGTTCATTCACGAAGTTTATACCAACTGCTCAGTAACAGTAAACGCTTCAGCTAGAAATTCAGGGAAATGTTTGAGGAGGTATCACACGCAGGGTGTATTTTATGTAAAGTGAGTAAGATAGGCACGTTCAGAAAAGACATCCTGTCTGGCAAAGGCCATGGGTTCACTCATGGCCTGCAGTCCCTGAGCAACAAAAAGGTGGTGTTGGGGACGGGAGCAGTCTCTAAGGGGCTGGGAAGAGGGCCAGGGAGGAGGAGGAACGTGCCCAGGTGCAGTGGTGGCACAGCCGGGGAGGAAGGCCAGCATGAGCGCGTCTGTTAGGGACGAGTCAGTGGCCACTCCGGTAGAGTTGAGAATTCATGCCAGGCTGTCGGTGTGGGCAGGTTATGGATGGCTGCAACCATGCCAGGAGCAGGGTTTTCCCCAAAGGCGGGCAGGTAAATGTCTAACAGCCAAGTCTCAAAAACAAATCCCTAAAAAAAAAATACTAAATTACAGCATTGGCCAATTTGCAGCTATGAACAGGTCGTCACTGAGTGTGGAGTTGGCTCTTGTGAGCCTGCTTGGGTTTTTCTTCTTGTCCTACCTTTGCTTGTATTTCTCGGCTACAGAAGATGACTTCTGTAAGCCCCTGCCTAAATTGTGATGAATTTTTCCCTCTAAGACCCCCGAGAAACAGATTATAGCCATTGTCCCTTCCTTCTGCTGTTCCTTTGAAATGTTTCCCAGAAACCCGGCTAGCTGCCTGTCCAAAGGCCCTCCCACTACACAACTAGGTCCTGGAGAAAAATTTCTTTCTAATGAAGTTCTGGGTTCACAGGAAATATGAGAACTCTTTAAAGGCAATATAATCCCCTGTCCCCTCAAGATCCAGAGTTCACGTGTTGTAATCCCAGGGAAAAGTAATTGGAACTCTCGAAAGTAAATCCCAATCTACCACTTCCAATGCAACCCATGGTGAGAAAAAAGAGATAGAGACGTATCTGCAATTGTGGGGAGCCACGGGGCTCCTAAATCCAATCCAGAATGAAGGCCACACCCAGGGCCAAACCTGGATTTTAATAATTCATAGAGAGGGGAGGGGCTTGGGGCGGAGTGACTGTGAGAATGGCAGGAAGTACGCGAGTGCTGTGAGCTGGGCTAGGTAGGAGGCATAATAGCACCTCTGCAATATGCAGGGAGAGGTGTGCCGCAAGCCTATGGGGAGTTTGGAGGAATCTGCATAACACAGTTTGAGGAAGTATCTTGTGGATTGGGTTGGCTGCCTCAGCCCTGATGCTGGCCTTTATCTGTCCTGGGATATCATTGCTTCTTTGAAGCTCTATTCCAGCCCGCTCTCTGAGTCCCCCTCATGCTTAGTAGGAGGGAGCCTCAGGCAGGCTGCGCACAGACCTGTGACTTCACCCTTGGTTGGACCCATTTGCATTGCTTCCAGCCAATCCAGCGGGTAGAGCACCTTCCTAACATGAGCTCCATGCACATCAGTAACGGTAATAAAGTAGAGGGAATTAAAATAGAGGCAAATTGTCTTCTTCCAGGGGGAATCTTCTCCGTGGTCCTCCGCAGTAATAACTGTCTCTCACCCCTTGCCCCACCCCTGAAATCCAGGGAGTTGAATTTAGAGCTCGACCTGTGAGCAGCAAGGAAATTGCAGTAGGAGGAAGCTCTCCTGATCACAGTGGTCAGAGACCTGCAAGAAGTAGCTCTTCGGGGACATAAGATGTTGAAATTATCAGACGCTGACTATAAAATAAGCAAAACATATAGAGGAACAAAAGGAAGAAACACAAGAACAAGCAAGAAACAAGAGATGTAAAAAAATGACCAGGGAAATTTTGGAAAGAACTAAATAAAACTTGAAGCAATTTAGTATACAGTCATGTGCCATAACCTGGCCTGCCGGCTCCTTCAGTAAGATACGAGAAAAATAACTTCCTAGAAAAATCACAGTTTGAATGCCCCAGCCATGCCAAGTATAAGCATTTCTTAATGCATGTTCCTATTCTGTACCTATTTGTTGGACCAATCTAAAAGGTGAAAGATTTATACTATCTGAAGAGAAACCGGAGTATGGACCAGTCTATAGATTGCGTATGACTCACACTTTGCATATTACCGGCCTGAGGAAAGCTTTGGCAGAACATGGTAGTACATGCCTGTAATCCCAGCACTTGGAAGGCTGAGGCAGGAGGATCACCATAAGTTGGAGGCCAGTGTGGGCTACATAGTGAGTTCAAAGCCAGCCTGAACTATACAGTAAGACCCTGTCTCAAAAAAAAAAAAAAAAAAAAGAGTCTTTCACATGCTCATTAGGACACAAATACAAAAAATGTTCATAGCAGTATTGTTCCACTAATGAGGGCGATGGGAACCATGCACATGATCTCTGAGAGGAGAATTATGAAAAATAATAGTTGCTATGGATAGTTACAATGAACTATCATATAGCCCAGAAAATAGAAGATCACAGGGTGATCAACAGAAGTGAGAGAAGAATAATCAAGTGACAATCACATACAGTTTGATGTCATTTTTATAAAGCTAAAAAAATAAGGTTAGGACAGTGATTTTCAGTAGGGAGGATAGAAGTAGGAGAGACAGGACCAAGGATATAGCTCAGCAGCACAGCGCTTACCTGGCAAGCTCGAGGTCATGAGTTGGATTCCTTGGTACCAAAAAAAAAAAAAAAAAAGAAGAGAGAGAGACCGAAGAGAGGAATGACAACCATGTCCTGGAGATACACTGGTTTAGATCCTCTTCTAGGTAAACAAACTTAGCCTTTCCCCCTCTCTACCTTCCTACTGGGAGTTAAGTAGTCTCAGTTCTTCCTCCTGCAGATACTGCCCTTCCACCTCTATTACTTCATTGCCAACCTTTATTTAAAAAAAATTTTTTTTTTTTTGGTCTTTTTGAGGCAGGATCTCACTGTGCAGTTCAGGCTGGCCTTGAGCTCACTTTGTAGCCCAGGCTGGTCTCAAACTCGCAACGACCCTCCTGCCTCAGCCTCCCGAGTGCTGGGATTACAGGTGTGCACATTGCCGACCTTTATACACATCATCAATACCCTTATTTCACGTCCTACGCTTTGGACCCCGGGCACCAGTGAGTGTGGACTTCACCACTGATTATCCAGAGCTCATCTGCTTGATGTGTCCGGGCAGTGTGGGGACCTGCCCTGTCCCCAGGAGCCTCTCTTCAGCCCCACAGCCTTGCTCAGTCACCGACTGGGTCATCGGCTCAGCTCCACTTTGTACTTGGACATCAGTGACTCCATATTGGATGGCTCAGCCCCAGCTGCCTGACCCCATCTTCCCTGGCTGCTCCTCAGGCTCCGGGGCCCATCACCTCACCTCGGTGCCCCCCAATGATGTCCTCTGCCCCTCAGGTGGAAGGTCCCCTCTTCCAGCCAGACTCAGGGGAAGGTGGATTCCCTCTCTCTGGCTTCTTTTCTTTCCCATCACCTTTCAGCACTGACCTGACTGTGTCCACCAGAGAGATCTGAAGCAGGGCTCATCACGAGGCCCTGTTTCTTCCTAGTGACTTTCCCGCCCTACACGCCCTTTCCTGTTGGGGAGTTCCCATGTCCCCTCCCTCTCCCTCACCACCATGGCCTGTTTGTAGAAGGCTGCTACCAGATTAATAGGCAACTCATGTCCCAGTCTGTTTGGGGCTGCTATAACAAAACACCTTCAACTGGGTAATTTATAAACAACAAAAGGTTATTGCTCACAGTTCTGGAGGCTTGGAAGTCCCAGATCAAGGCAGAGTCAGTGTCTGGGGAGGGACCACTCCTTACAGATGGTGCCTCTGTCCTCACATGGCAGAAGGAGTGAACAGGTTCCTTCCTCTCTCTCTCTCCCTCCCTCTCTTTTTTTCCCTCTCTCTCCACGAGCTACATCCCCAGCTCTTTCTTATTTTGAGACAGTTTTTGCTAAATGACCAGGCTGGGCTCAAACTTCTGATTCTCCTGCCTCAGCCTCCCAGAATACTGGGGTTACAGGCATGTGACACCATGCCTAGCCCCGGGGTCTCTTTTCTTAGGTCCCACCTGCATGACCCAATCACCTATTATACTGGGGGTAGGCAGTGAGATTTCAGCCTGTGAACTTTGGGGGACCATTTGGGCCACAGCAACGTGATTCTTATCTTCCTCAAAATCCTTAGAGATCCAGATTACCTATCTGCTACTTGGCCTTTTCTTAGTGGAGATTCAGGGTGGAAACATTTGGCCCCAATCCCCTAGAATTCCCCACATCATCTCCTTGCATTTCTACCTCCTCTTGACTCCTGAACGTGACTTCTTTCAGCTCCAGAAATCGTGAACTATGAGCCCCTGGGGCTGGAGGCCGACATGTGGTAAGTTGCATGGGCTGCTCTGGGGGCCTAGGGGCCCTCCCGGGGAAGAAGGCTTCAGACCTTGTTCTGGTTGACATCCGGTTGGCCTTGAACCCTGTTTCTCCACACTCACCTTTCAGAGTCCCCTAAGCTGGTCCAAGGCCAGCTAAGCGTGGAGTCAGAGCGTGACAGCTGTGCAGGAGTGAGGGGAGGGCAGGGCCGGTGGCCGAGACAGTAGTGACAGTGGCTCCTTGGGTTGGTCCACCAGGTGTTCGCTGGGAGCCTCCTGTGGCCCTGGCACAGCGTTAGCCTGGGCAGATCGCAGCCATTTATGGGATCCGTTTCTTTTTTAAATGCTGCGTTACAGTGGACAAGGCCTTTGTGATTTCCTAAAACCCTGCCAGCTGTCCTGCAGGGTGGTTGTCATTTTCCTCCTCGTATAAGGCAAAGGGAGCTCAGGGCCGGTAAGCGATGCGCGCAAATCGCAGAACCCGCTTGAGAGTGGGACGCAGAGAGGTCTGAGCTTGAAACGCCACCCAGGGGCTGCTAGGGAGGCAAGCGGCCTCTCGTGCCCTGAACGTGCAGGGGGGATTGCTGGCTGGGATTGGAGCCAGGCGGCCCTGACTCGACTGTCCTCTGTTTGCAGGAGCATTGGCGTCATCACCTACATCCTGTGAGTACCCTGATCCCGGGCCTGGCCCAGCATGGATGGGGAACGCAGGAAGAGGGACAGGAGCAGGAGGGCGGACGCGCTGCCACTGCCGAGCGCCACAGGCCGGGAGTGCTGGGTCCACGCAGCCCTGAGGCCGCACCCCCCAGACCTTGTCTCCTCTCTCGTCCCTTTCCTCCTCTTTTCCCCAGATCCCTTTTCCTTCCTCTCACTCTCTGTCCTCTCTTCTCCTGCTTCTCTGCCTGAGCTTCCCGCTGCGTATGCAGAGAGCTCCCGCTTACTTCCTTGTGCAGACGCTGTCCCTGCCTGCCGAGGTGGCCTTGGGTGGGTGCTTATGCTCTGGGCCTGCTTTTCTCACTGGAAAAAATAAGAATCACAGACTTCCTTCCCCTGGGACGGAGGCTCACTGGGTCACACGGGCAGATTTGCTAGGCCCTGCTGTGGTACCCGTGGAGCAAGGAGTCAGCTCACAGCTGGGGGGCAGGGGGTGCACTGCTGCTGCACAGCTTGGGCTCTTTCTCTCCGTGGCCCCATAACCCAGCTATGCGACTCACTGTGGTGCCTGTGCTGGGAGCTCTGTCCACAGCATATGGATCCCCCGGGCAGCGCCAAGGTCTCACCGCTGGCTGCACGGTAGAGCTCTTACTGCCTCCCCTGGCCCAGGCCCCCGCAGGACTTTGCAGTCAGGACCGCTGGGGCTCAGGCTTCAGCAGAGGCTGGGTGTAATGTGCATGCCTGTAATCCCAGCACTGGGAGGCTGAGGCAGGAGGATATCAAGTTCAAGCTTAGCCTGGGCAATTTAACTTCTGTGTCTTAAATAAAAAAGGGCTGGGGATATGGCTCAATGAAGGCTCTGTGTTCAATCCCCCGTATTGAAAGAAACAAAGAAAAAAAATCTAAATTTGATGCCAAGAACCATTGGTCTGTAATTCCGGATCAGCCAAAATGTTCAGACATAGGCTCTTGTAACCCGGGTTTCTCCGGGACCCTCCTTCTCCGGCTGAGCTGTTAAGGAATTGCAGGGTGTACAGATCTCTTAGCCTTCCTAGGGCTCACCCGAATCTGACACCGCTTTCTGGGTGACCTGCTCTTTCGCGGGCCTGGTGCCAGGTACTCAGGATACTGACATGAAGGGGTCTCCCCTGCTCACCAGGCTCCTTGTCCGCGGGGGACACCTCGCAGCTGACCCCCACCCCGGGGACCACGGCAAGACAGATGTGGAGGCCCCGGCTTCCTGCGGCTGCGAGAGACTTAGCGGGGGAGATAGAATGAGGAAGCGTGGTGTTAGAGCGGGGGTGTGGGAATGAAGCCAGCTCTCTGGTGGAAGGGAGAGGAGAGGATCGAGTTTAGATGTAATCCTGTGCAAACTGGGGAGCCTTTGTGTTCTAACAATGACAACACAATGACCCCTACGTCTAGAGCCCTCCATATGGCTTGGGTGACAAAAGCATTTTATATGTACACTGATTCCTCACACCAACCAGCTGAGGTGGATGTGGGTATTTTCTTCATTTTAAGAATGAGGAAACAGCAGCCCCGAGAGGCTGAGGAGCTGACCTAGGTTCGCACGGCAGAGGGGTGGCGGAGCTGGGTTGGAATAGCTGAAGCGCCCCGTTGCTGCCAGCATGCTAAGAGCACCGCGGGGCTGGGAGAGACCTTCAAGGGAGTCTGAGCGATGGAAATAGTGAGGTTTGGGGAGGACACTAGGAGAGTCCAAGCTGGGTGCTGTGTCCCTGGCGTGGTGCATTTGTGAAGGGTCGTTACTAAGGCACGGAGGGGGAGTGTGGCCGAGTGGGTCTGAGGACAGCAGCACTTCTGGGCAGAGCCCATGAGCCACTGGAGTATGAGTCAGGAGATGGTAGCCCGGGAGTCACAAGGTAGGACACATCCTTGCTGGTCTCTGGCAGTGCCTCTATTTCTGTGCCTTTGCTCCGGTTCTCCCGTGGCCTGGGGGAGTCTTGCCGTGCTGTCTCCTCTGACTTCTTCAGCCAAAGCCAGCGTCAGCTCTCCTGCAGAGCTGCCCCGCCACTTCCCCATTCCTGGGTCCTTTATCGGGTCTTCTGTTACAGTTTGCTTTGTTCTTCAGGGGATTCTAAGGAGCTACATCTCTGGGTTTCTCTCCTCTCAGCTTTTGAGGCTGTGAAGGTGCAGTTTTCCCTCTGTCGGGTTCTTACAGGCGCTCTGTGAAGTGAGCTGGTTGGACCCCATTGAAAAGGCCGCTCTTGGCTACCGGGATGGGGTGGCGGTGCTGCGGGAACCCCCAGCCTCACACCGCAGAGTGGGTCCGTCCCCACTCTCCACCGAGTTCTCACGGTCATGTGGTTCTCTCTCGTTGTGCTCAGCCTGAGCGGAGCGTCCCCGTTCCTGGGAGACACGAAGCAGGAAACCCTGGCAAACATCACAGCAGTGAGTTACGACTTCGATGAGGAATTCTTCAGCCAGACTAGCGAGCTGGCCAAGGACTTCATTCAGAAGCTTCTGGTGAAAGAGACCCGGTAAGAGGGCAGAGAAAGGCATCGGGTTCTCAGGTGCCAGTCCTCTCCTGGTCTCCAGGATGTGTTCGTCTGTCCTCCTTTGTCACAGCTGTCACCTGCACCACTGTGGTCTAATCCAGGGAGCTGCTGAGAAGTGAGCCTGGCCAGGGCCTAGCGTTCACCTTGTTTGCCCAGATCACTTGCTGAGAGGCAGGTGACTCTGTGTGTGTGTGTGTGTGTGTGTGTGTGTGTGTGTGTGTGTGTTTGGAAATTCTTAGGGCTCCTTACCTTGTGCAGTCTGTCCCAAAAGCACTTGGAACTTGGACTGGAAAGGTAAAACTGCAGGATTTTTTTTTTCTATACTATATTTAATTTTAAAAAATGGTTTATTAGTACATATTTGCCATACATAACGATCACATTCAACATAGGGAATTTGTATCTATACATACTATGACTTAATTCTTCTTTTTTCCCATTTCCCTCTCCTCCCTCCAGCCCTTCTTTCACTGCTCATTTATAAAAACTTTGTTTCCCTTTTTCCCTTCCATTCTTTTTTTTTCAATCTCTTTTTCTCACCGGGCGTGGTGGCGCACCCCTGTAATCCCAGCACTCGGGAGGCTGAGGCAGGAGGTTTGTTGTAAGTTTGAGACCAGCCTGGGCTACAAAGTGAGTTCAAGGCCAGCCTGAACTGCATAGTGAGATTCTGTCTTAAAAAAAAAAAATCTCTTTTCTCTTCCTTCCCCTCCTTCCTTGTTCCCATTCCCATTTGAACATGTTCTTCCTAATTCTTGAAATCTGTTCTGTTTCGCTCCTCATTTATCCTTTGTGTTTCTCGCGGAAGAGAAGCAAGCTGGGTGTGGTGGTGCACACTTGTAATCCCAGCATTTGGAAGGCTGAGGCAGGAGGATCATCATGAGTTCAAAGCCAGCCTGGGCTACATAGTGAGGTCAAGGCCAGCCTGCACTACATAGGAAGACCCTGGAGAGAGAGAGAGAGAAAGAGACAGAGAGAGGGGACGAATTTGCAGGGCTTTTGAGTCCTTTCAAACTGGGAGCGGAGGGAGCAGCCCCAGAAAGGTCAGCGGAGCGCTACTTAAGTTTACATTTCTTGGGCTCAGACAGCTCCGGAAATAAAACCTTCCTTCTGGGTCCAAGGTCAGCCTAGGGCTGTGGGATCCAAAAAAGGAGATGGGCATGGAATTGCAGGGTGCTGGGTACCCAGAGCAGAGCCTGGATGGAGCAGAGGAAAAGGCTGCCAACCCTAGAAGGCTATGTCCTCTTGGTCCCCTAGACTCCAGAGAGCACCAGTGTGGGGTCCTCTGAAGTGATTCCTCAAGGAAGGGCAGGCTAGGAAAGGCCACCCCGCCTGGGGACAGAGCAGCGCTGGGCAGAGGAGGGACCTGAGAGGCGAGACACAAACAGAGACCAGAGGCTCGGCAGTGATGAGCTGGCTTTTGGAGGACTGTGGGGGCCCAGGAGAGCCCTGATGGCTGCCAGAGGGTGGCATTTGGCCTTGCGGCTGTGGAAGTGAAGGTGAGCCCGAGGCACTAAGCTCTCTCTGTGGGGGGCCGGCCTGAACCCCTTCCCTGGTGTGGGGGGAGAGCCGCCGGCTCCCATCCCCTTCTGCGGCTGCTCTGCTGCTTTGACGGCACAGTCACAGCAGGCTCAGGGTAAGAACGGAGGCTGTCACCCCGCTCTGTCCACCTGGATAGTCACTGTCTTCTAATCCTCATTGCAGAAAACGGCTCACGATCCAAGAGGCTCTCAGACACCCCTGGATCACGGTAAGAGCATGGTGGTGAGTTCCTGGTCTGTCGCCCGGGCTGGCGGGGGCAGCCGCAGGCAGAGGCTGGCGCAGAGGCCTTGGCTTGAAACACTAACCTTGGGCGCAGATGACAGTGGTCAGGGGCCCCAAAGGCCTGAGCTTGCTCAAAGGAGGCTTTGCTCCCTTAAGTTTGCATTTCGTGGGCTCAGACAGTTCAAGGAATGAAACCCTCACAGACCTCAGTTGAAACCCTTTTTTGGGGGGACCATCTTATAAAATGTTTGTTAGAGGACACGTCCCTGTTGCTTCTCAGAACAGAAATCAGGACGCCTCTGTTGCGGAAAGATCAGCGGCAGTTCAATCCGCAGCCGTGTAACCAGGGCTCCTTCTTTTTGACCTTCAGGGTGGGGCTTTGAGTAAAAGGTGACGCTCTGATTGGCCCCCGGCTTCAGGAACTGGGCTCTGAAACAGGCCTGGTGGGGAAGAGGGGCCACCACCCCGTTAGCTCAGTTTGGTTCCCTCTGGGGAAGGTCGGGCCAAAAGGTGAGTCCCCGCCTAGCTCACCTTGCGCTCCAGCCTCTGGCCGCTGGGTTTTCCAAGGCCCTCGCTGTCTGTGTAGTGAACAGTGCATCGGCGGGTGGAGGGCAGAGACCAGGATTCTGGGCCCAGCTCTGCGGACCACAAGCTACACATCCACTTCAGTGTTAAGGAGAAGATGGGCAGGATGGTCTGAGCGTGCAGATAGGAGCAGGGGACGGGGTGCCTGGGAGAAGGCCAGGCGCACCTGCCTGTGGAGGATGGGGAGAGCCGGGCCCTGCAGCAGATGGAGCACCAAGAGCAGAGAGCTGGGGAGTCTCTTGGGATGCTTTCTGCTGAGCACGCGAAGGTTGCTGAGGCCTGAGGGGCCGTGAAAGAGAGACGCCCCTCAGCCTCCCTCTGCCGGCTGTGGCTTCCTGCGCTCCAGCCCATGAGTGGATGTCTGCAGAGTCCTGGCTGCAGCCTGCTTGTCTGCGGAAGTCCCCTTAAATGCTATGCTCAGGGAGGCCCCCTCTAATGGCCCTGGACCTCCTTCCCTGAAGGGAGTGTGCAGGCAGCACCCCACCCCACTCCTTCACCTTTCTTGCGGTGTGTACGGGTGCTCGCCACACCCTGGTTCTCCCCGAAGCCCGTTGCATGCAGTGAATGCCAAGGAGCCCGTGTGTGCACCCACCTGCAGCTTGGATTGCACTTTGGAGCCTGCGTCCACCGTGCTAATATTCTGGTTCTCCCGTCCGAACACCTGCCAGTCCAAAGGAGAAGCCAGAGCCCCCGAGCAGCGGAAGACACAGACCTCACAGCTGAAAACCAAGCGCCTGAGAGAGTACACCCTCAAGTGCCACTCCAGCATGCCCCCCAACAACACCTACGTCAACTTCGAGCGCTTTGCCCACATGGTAGAGGACATAGCTCGGGTGGACCAGGGATGTCGTGCGCTAGCAGGGGCCCATGACACTCTCCAGGATGACGTGGAGGCCCTAATCTCCATCTACAATGAGAAGGAGGCTTGGTACCGGGAGGAGAATGAGAGCGCCCGGCACCACCTGTCCCAGCTCAAGTACGAATTCCGCAAGGTGCAGTCCTTGAAGAAGCTCCTGCGAGAAGACATCCGGGCCACAGGGTCCAGCCTGGGAAGCATGGCCAGAAAACTGGACCATGTGCAGGCGCAGTTCGAGGCTCTGAGGCAGGAGCTCTCGGCAGACCTGCAGTGGGTACAGGAACTGGTGGGCAGCTTCCAGCTGGAGGGCGGAGACGCACATGGCCTAGGCTCTGTGCTCCCTTGGGATGCCAGCAAATCCCTGTCAGAGCTGCTCAGCAGGTCATGCACTGAGGAAGTCCTGGCCAGCTTGAAGCTGTGAGCCCTGGAACCTAGTCAGTAATGTGTGGGATGGTTTGCAGAAGCGCGCTCTCCGCACCTGCTAGAATCATCCTGCGCGGGCTTCCACCCTCTCCCCAGAAGCCAGAAACAGCGGCCCTGCATGCTTGGTAACTGATTGGTGATAATGGATGTGCTCACCTCCCACTCCCACCCGCAGGCCTTAGGACTGCAGATCTCGGGTAGTAGTTGAATTAACTAAGGGTAACGAAGTCAGCGTGGTGCTGTCCTGCTGCAGAAGCAGGGATTTAAAATGCACAGAGAAAATAATACTCCCTTTCATTTGAACTGACTTCTCACCTAGCAAGTCTTTGTGTCTTGATCCCCAAAGAACTCCGAGCTAGAAAGGTGGTGATGACAAGATGGGGGTGCTGATTTCCACGGAAGTGGTGAGGAGACTGACTCCAAGAGGGAGAAGGACTTAGGATCATTCATAGCCAGTCGACACAGCTGAAACAGGAAGCCAGGGTGTCTGTCTCTCAGAGGAGGTCTGTGGGAGGGGGGAGGAGGCTGATCTGTAAATAGCAAGCTTTAATATTAAAGTTCAGATCCCAGACACGGGGTAGGCAGGTGCGTGTGTCTGGCCAGGTGCCGGTGGAATGCAGACACCCGCAGAGATTGTCCCAGGAGCTGTGTCCCAGGTACCATGTTCCTACCAGCCGCGTCTCTGTCTGAAGACCAACCTCTGTGGCAGGAGGGAAGGGGCAGCGTCTCCCTGTGCTCCCTCCTTTCCCCCAACTCCTGTCTGAGGACCCTAACTCCATGTTGAAAATGTAGACCGAAAGGTACTCAACAGAGCGATTCCTTTTCCCAAGTGCCAGTCCACTGGGCCCTGAAGGTCGAAGAGATTCCCTGAGGGTTTTTGAAGAGGGTGGACGTGAAGATTGGGAAGCACCAGGCTCTGTGGTCTTTTCATGATCCACGGCTTTGGGCATCCCTCCGCAGGGCCTGTGTGACCTCATCTCCCTTTCCCCGCAGAGAGGTCAGTGGGCATTAACCGCGGACAGGGCCTGGAGCGTGGACCCGGCACTGTGCTCGAAGCTTGGGGTTGGGGGAGGAGACTGTATACTTTGCAGCTATTCACAGCCTGACAAAACACCCCAGCCAGACATTTGTGTAAACTGTTCTTCCCAGTTTAGAGATGAGGAAGCAGAGAGGTGAGGGGATTTGACCCGAGTCACCGCATGAGTCACAGAAGTGGGGCCTTCCTATGGCAAGTCTGTGGCTGTTTCTGCTTCTCCCCAGCTCCAGATGTTTACCGTCTGTCTTAGAGGTGGGTGGTACCCAGGTTCACCCATCCATTCCCAAATAATTACCAGGCACCTACCAACTTGTAGACACCAGGTTTGAGTCTGAGGCTACGTCAAGTAAAACAGGCTTGATTCCTGCCGTGGTGGAGTTCTCGGTCTAGCACAGAAGCCCAGCGTCAGTCAGAATCACACACAGGTAGAATGCAGCTGGGGAGAAGCCGCAGCCTGCAGTGGGGTTCCATCTGATAGGGCGGGTGTCCTCGAAGATCTCAGCTCATGCTGGCTGTCGTCTCGGGGCGCTGTCTGCCTCAGCCTCCTGAGTGCTGGGATTACAAGCATGTGCCAGCATGCCTGGTGCATCCCAGAAACTTTTGAATCAAATATGAGAAACGATGATTATGAGATGCATTGTTACTTTATGTACCGTTAAGAAAAAGCACATATGGGGAGCCTAAGAGACCCCCCCCACATACACATAAAGCTGTGAGTGGGTGAATGAGAAGTAGCTCACTGCGCAGAAGAAGAGAACAAGGAATCAGGAGGGACTCCGCTGAGACCCTAGGTGGGGTGGAAAATCCCCCTGAGCATGGACGCCTGGCCCGCCAGCCCTCTTGGAGTTTTGCTCTTTGAATTTGCAGTCAGTGTGATACCGAAGAGTCTCAAGCTGGGAGTGTCATCCCCCCGGCTTCTGAGGCTGGTGGCCCCACAAGGCTGGTGGAAGCAGCACAGTCCCTCTTCTCCCCGACTTCCCTCCAGGCTGACAGTAAAGACCAGGTGTCCCAGAGACGCCGGTGCCTCCTGAGCTCTGAGGCCCAAAGTGCGCACCTCGGCATGAAGGAAAGGTGGCAAAAGCCGTGTTTCCTCAAGTGACCTTTACAACCTCTTCAAAGGCTTTTCTGCCCTCTCCTGGGCTGTTAGATGCTCGTTTGGCATAAGCCGGTGCAAACATTCACGGTCCTTTGGCTGTGCCAGCAGGGATGGACCACACAGCTGGGTTTCCCAGGGTGAGGGCAAACGAACCTAAGAAGGCCAAAATGTAATAAAAGAGTAAAATGGTGGTGATGTTTGAATCGGGGAGGCTGGGGGACAGGAGAGAGAAGTGAACGTCTTAGATCTGCGGGGTCAGCTACACACTTTGCAGGCCGGGAGGGTCCTGGGCAGTGTCCCGTCCTGTACCGTCACCTCATAGCCTTTCACGAGGCAGGACTGGCCCGAAGTCCCCCGTGTGGTCAGCCCCCAAGCTGGGCTCAGAGCCGCAGGTTGTTTTCCTTCCACGGTGAAATTGTCCTCTCTGTGTGCGCAAACGGTCATGGTCACTGCTTCTCTGTTTGACGTCTCTCGGGGTCAGTGGACCCTTTTCCATGGAAGAAGCTTCTAAAGCCAAGTCAAAGGGAATTGAGAAATGGCCCCAAGAAATGGCCTCTCCTTCTGCTGGCAGCACGCCGATGCGGAGGGAGCCCCGGGGCTTGTGCGGCCCTCGCTGTGCTCCCCTTGGGCACACAGTGCAGGCTGGAGATGGGGTGATGGGTGGTGGGGCGGGGGGTTCACTGGGACCTGGAGGCAGGAAGCTCTGGGCTGGGCCACTGCTCTGTGGGCAGCCGCTCTGCCATCATGGGGGCTTTACTCCGCGGACTATGAATGAAAGGTTGGCTTCTGTGGTCGGGTGAGACGCCATTGCAGCACTGTGGGAAGCGAGAGCCAGGGTGATTCTCCGGGAGGCCCCGCCCCACCCTCAGGCAGATGCACACAGCGTTTGACTGCCCAGATTGTGTCAGGAAGCCTGACGATGGATTGTGGGTGGTTTTGCGGGTGGCAGAGGCCGCACAGCAGCCCTGACAGGGGAAGCCAGGGCCTCCTCCGGGAGTCCCGCCCCTGCAGGTGACAAGTGATGGCCGTTCCCCTCCTCGCTGGCCAGCACAGCCCTCTGTCCCTGCTGGCTGCGTGCCCAGCTATCACTCGCACTGCCGACCTTCTGCAAATGCCTGTGGGCCTGAATGTCCTTCCTCCTGTGTGAGATTCTTGGCCTGTGGAGAAGATTCTTGGGCCCGGGGAGGAGGCCCAGCAGTGGGCATGCTGGAGTTCGTGAGGGGCCAGTTCAGTTGAACAAATACTTGATTGTGCTCGGGCTCTGGGGGGAGGTGACAGATAAGGACAAGACAGCCCCTGAATAAAAGACTCAGTATGTGGGGCAGATGGGGCCCCAGCCAACTGGGAGGTGAGCAAGGCTGTGGGGAGTGATGAATAGAGGCCCCGAATGTCCGGAGACACAGGGGAGAGATGGTTTCTGAGGAGACAAGGTCAGCAGGGGGGACAGCAGGGAGCTGAGGCCTTCTCAGGGATGGCCGCCCTGCCCCACAGGCTGTAACCTTCGGAAGAAACTGCTGACTGAAATTTCGTTTTATTTTTGTGTAACTAGAGATTGAACCCGGGGCCTTCCTACTGAGCCACATTCCCGGCCCTTTTAAAAGTTTTTTTCTTTTTTTTTTTTTTAATTTTGAAACAAGTGGCCCAGGCTGGCCTCAAACTTGAGCCCCAGCCTCCCAGAGATCTTCCTGCCCCAGCCTCCCAGAGCGCTGAGGTTACAGGCATTCTCCACCATGCCTGGCTGGTGCTGGGTGGAATTTGGAGGGCTGACCATGAGCCAGATTGGATCAGGAGCTCGGAACTTTTGAGAGGAAGTTCAAGAGCAGGAGATTACCGAGATTAAAAAGAGGACAGAGTTTGTTTTTAACTTGGCGTTATGGAAAATTTCACAACTGTAAAATTTCACAACTGTAAAAGTACAGAGACCAGTGTAGTGAATTCCATGACCACATTACCCGCTTCAACAGGAGGCCTCTTATGGCCAGGGCTCTTCACTCATGTCCCCCCACTCCTTTTTGATGGCATATTTGGAGAATTTTAAAGCAAACTTCAGACTTATTCGACTCTTAGATTCTTTGGCATGAATCTTTGATAAGGATTTTTTTAAAAATATAACTTCCATGCTGGGATCACCCCCCACAAAATCAGTGGTAATTTCTCCGTCTCACCTGGACACCCATTCCATACCCCAGGACCCCTGTTTCTCACGGGTGAACCGTTGCAGTTAGTTTGTTCGCAGCAGGACCCAAACATGGGTCACAAGTGGCATTTGGGTGACATCTTTCAACTCTCTTGAAATAGCACAGGAGGGAGAGAGCTCTGGAAGCTTTCTCTGAGGGTGAAAAATTGCTCTGAAAACCAGAGGCTCAGAAAAACAAAAAGTAAAAGTTTAAAAATGCTGGGTGTGGTGACGCATGCTTATAATGCTAGCACTCAGGAGGCTGAGGCAGGGGCTGGGGATTTAGTTCAGTGGCACAGCGCCTGCCTGGCAAGCGCAAGGTCGTGAGTTCGATTCCGGGTACCAGAAAAAAAAAAAAAAAAAAGAACTTACAAGGTGGCTGAGGCAAGAGGATCACTATAAGTTCGAGGCCAGCCTGGGCTATATAGTGAGAACTTGTCTCAAAATTAAATAAATAAAGAAAGAAAGAAAATTTAAGAAAATTAAAATTAGAAAACCAGAGGTCATGCAGAAGAGCATGAGAAGAGCATGGACGTGCTCATGCTGAGGCCAGGCCAGGCAAGGACAGGCGTTTTCTCTCTGCCCACCACTGCGTTCCTGGAGGTGACAGCCTGCCAGCCCCCGGGGCCCTCCACAGTGCTCCCGCCTGGTCAGGAGGAGGCAGAGAGCCAGGCACCAGGAGCCTGACCTTGCTGGGAACAAGGAGGCCAGCGGGGCCACCAGCACAGGGAGCGGCAGAGGTGCCACCTGTGGAGACTCAGTGCTGGAGATATAGCTCAGCGGCATAAGCGCCTGCCTGGCAAGCACAAGGTCCTGAGTTTGATTCCCAATACCAAAAAAAAACCATGGTTGTGGAGATTCAGTGAGGGAGGGGAGGAGGAGGGCCCAAGTGACGATGGTGTCCTGTGCAGGAAAGGGCAGTGGGTGCTCCCGGCCTTCCATGGAGCGCGAGTCAGCAGAGGTGGCACCGCTGGAGGGCTGAAAAGTTGTAGTCCGTCGGCAGTTTCTGCAGGAAGCTGGGTACATTGCCGAGGGCTGCCTCTTCTGCAAAGCCAGGGCTCAGTTCTCGCCCGTGCTGGTGGCTGCTGCTTCTCTTTCTTTCTCTCTTCCTTCCTTCCTTCCTTCCTTCCTTCCTTCCTTCCTTCCTTCCTTCCTTCCTTCCTTCCTTCCTTCCTTCCTTCCTCCGTCCCTCCCTCTCTGTCTCCCTCCCCGTCTCTCTAGTACTGCGATTGAACGCAGGGTCCCGCCTCTCAGAGCAGGGTTCACACACCCCAGCTAGAATTTTTAAAGGCATTTGCAGCTACATAAACAAGACGTAACTCCACCCCAGCTTTCTGTCTCCTTGTCTCCCTGTCTCCCTCTCCAACATGTTTCGAAGGTGCCAAACCACTCCTCGAAGCCGGGTCAGAATTGCCCAGCTCCCTAGAATCACTGGACCGCGGGGCTGGAAGGTGGGCATCACCTCACATCCCCAGTGTAATCAAAAGCGCCACTTTCAGGGCCGGGGATACAGCTCAGCGGCACAAGCGCCTTCCTGGCAAGTGCAAGGTCCTGAGTTCGATTTCTGGTACCAAAAAAAAAAAAGAACTTCTGAAAGTGCCACTTTCCGTCTGGGAGATGATTGTAGCAGAATTGATGTCTCTGACTTTCTAGCTGCAGTGTTGTTGAGCTTCTTAGTAACCAGGGAGAAATTGATTCTGAAAGGCCAGGGGACAGATTCTCAGTCCAGGGCCTCCTCCCCCGGCTCAGGCTGCTGTGCTTGGGCCATGGAAGCAATTCCAAGTGCGGAGCCATCCTGCCTGACGTTTCCCCTTGTCTGCCCTTTGGCGGCAGCTGGAGGCACAGCCATTTCTCCTGGGTGATGGTACCCCCTAGTAAAGGAACAAAAAACGGTCCCTTTCCTCCCACTTTTTCACACTGTGCCTGTGAGGAGCACCGGCTCAAAGGTCAGATCTGGCTCGGTGAGAGGCAGGCATTAGTGATTTAGAGGGAGAAATGGTTATGGGTCAGGGAGGGTAGGTGCTGATCACCTTGGGAAGATGTCAGGACGTGGGGGTGTGGGGGTGTGGGGGTGTGGGGGATGGAGACTCAAAAATACAGAACAAAATGTCAGGTTGTGACTCATGCAGTAAAAAAACCAGGCATAGGCCAGTTGTGGTGGAAGTTGTGGGTGGGGGTGATTGGGGTGCTCTTTTATTTAGGGCAGTCAAAAGAGGGCTTCCCTGAAGAGATAATGTCTGGCCAAAGATCTGAACCAAGTGACAAAGTAAATGTAAAGAAGAAAAGCACGCTAGGAGGCTGAGGCAGGAGGATTGCAAGTTCAAGCCCAGCCCCGGCAACTTAGCAAATTAGGGCTGGAGATGTAGCTTGGTGAGAAGGCCTTGCCTCAGTTCAATTCCCAGTACTGCAAAAACAAAAACTGATAAAATAAAGGAGCAAGGGAGATTCCTCTGCTCCGCAGGGGCAGAGATCGCAAGCCCCAGGGTTAAAGCAGTCCTGCGTGCTGGGAGCTGAGAGGCTGAGGGTGCGGGGAGGAAGCTGGATTGCAGGAAGCTACAGGTGGTGCCTGCTGGCACAGAGCACACTGCGGCTGGCACGGAGGGAAGGCCGGTCCTCAGCAGGGATGGCTTGCCCTCTGCCCACTTTTGTACACCTCAGATGGGACCTGGCCCCGGTCTGGTCTCACAGGTGTGCCAGAGGGGATGGCAGGTGTTTAAGGAACAGGATGGGTGTGACCTGATATCCTCTCGATGCCCTCCTCCTTTTCTCTTCCCTGTCCCCCACCCACACCCACACTTTGCCCCAACCATGGGCCAAGGGGGAGGCGATCAGCCTGGCTTTCTCACCTCCCACCCACTGCTCCGTGACCCCCAAAGAACTCTGCATCACTTCCAGTCAGGGCCGTAGGGGTCATGGCGTCGTGACACTCTTCCGTGGTGCCGTCACTAGGCTGATCAAGGTGCCCGGGAGCGCTCATCCGTGGGGGCAAGCAGGTCCTGGGTCCTGGGCCTTCA